TCCACAATAAGCACAGTGACAGTGATTTAGCCAGCTCTTACCCCCAGACAGAGAGGAATTAACACATCTTCTTGCACCAGGCATCTTTCAACAGAGGCGTTTCTGTCCTGTACCTCTTACAGAGGACTCCCCACAGCCTGAGGAGAGCTACACAAAGAGCACTACCCCTTGTCTCCAAGTCTCGCCACCACTAAGCTTCATCCTACCACTGCCAGCATTAACGCTGGCTCCAGCAATCTAAACCAGCACTAAAGGAAGGGCTGCAAAAACAGACACAGGGGAACAGCAATTACGTAGGCTTCCAGTAACACTTCTGCCGAGCCTCCAGCAGAGAAAGAGGACAAGTTCCAAATAGGTTTGCAGAGGAGCATTAGCGCCTGTGCTTTCTAATCCCAAGCTTGAAGCGCTCCGAACATCTGGAGGTGATCCCAGGTACAGCTGCACAGCACAGCCCCGTGGCCCAGCAGGCTGGACTCTATGAGAAGCACACGGGCTGTGGTCCAGGCATGCTGCTCCGGGAGAGATGGAGCCCTTTGGCCAACCTGGTCATGGCAATAGGTTAGACCTGGGGACCCACAGCCACAGCACGTGGTGGGGTGTTTCCATTTACAGAGCATGCTACAGCCACACAGCATCCCTCCACGAAGCAAATCACAGAATCCCAGCCTGGTTTGGGTTGGAAGGGACCTTAAAGCTCACCCAGCTCCAACCCCTGCCACAGGCAGGGACCCCTTCCACTGGAGCAGCTTGCTCCAAGCCCCTGTGTCCAACCTGGCCTTGAACACTGCCAGGGATGGGGCAGCCACAGCTTCTCTGGGCACCCTGTGCCAGCGCCTCAGCACCCTCACAGGGAAGAGCTTCTGCCTAAGAGCTCATCTCAGTCTCCCCTCGGGCAGGTTAAAGCCATTCCCCTTGGCCTGTCCCTACATCCCTTGTCCCAAGCCCCTCTCCAGGTTTCCTGCAGCCCCCTTAGGCACTGGAGCTGCTCTAAGGTCTCCTCTTCAGGAGCTTTCTCTTCTCCAGGCTGACCCAGCCCAGTTCTGCTCCACACTTGGGAGCGAGCATCACTTGAGACTCAAGGGTTAAAGGACATAAAGGAGACTCCTTGGGCTGGAGGCAAAGCCTTGAACGGGTTTAATGCAGTGCAACAGCCGAGTCTAACTTCTACTCATCTCAGGAAAGTCATCTGACATCAGCTCTACGTGGGTTCAGCCGCTGCAACCACCAAACCCTGTGACAAGATGTCACTTCCACAAACAGAAGCTGGGTACAGCACCTTATATGGAGAGCAGCGGGGAGGCAATGACACCCATTTCCCTGAACCCCGTTTGCCTTTCGCCAGGTGCTGGTGGGCAGAGTCAAGAGGCAGAACCGCACCATGGCCTCACTCGCCCGGCTGCTGCGCCCCGCTGATGGAGCCCCACCAAGGCACACGTTTTCCTCCTTCCTTGGCTGTAAAATCTCAGCAGGGAAATGGACTTTAATGATTTCACTTCCAGGAGAACCAAGCCCATCTGCTTGTCAACACACCAGAGCTGAAAGCTTAAACACGGCTACGTGTACACTTCCCCTCCCGGAGCCCTTCCTTATTGCTGCCCGGGGTTCAACTTCAGCGCTTGTGCAAACAACACCAGAGGTGTCCTTTCGACTTTGCTCCAGGTAGAAGGAAAACAAGGGGAGCAGCCTCTCCAATAACACTGCGCTTTCATGGGAGGGCTCGTCCAGCCAGAAACACCAGGGCAAATGAGAGCGAGGGGAGTTGGTGGGGTGTAACTCTTTGGTTAGGGCTGGGCTGTACGGCAAGGCTGACCATGGAATGATTTTGAGCTTAATAAGGCCCCTACAAGTACAAGATGGTGACTGCAGCCTCCTGCCTGCTTCCAAACAGCCAGGATACGTGGTGTTGGGATGCACACCAAGCCATGCCCTCACGGCACTGCACAACTGCCAGCTCAGGGGAGCCAAAACCCAGACAGTGGCTGCGCAGGAGGAAGGGATGGGTCATTCCTCGCCTTCCTTTCCACTTATCCACAACTCAGATGCCCCGCAGCTACCCGGGGGCAGCACACGCTCCTTAAGCCAGAGCCACTTCCCTGCTCCCAACAGGCAGGGAACACAGGGCCGATAGTTCAGCTTCGAGCCATTCCCAGCTTAAGGAAGAAACCTCATCTGTTAAAAATGCGAGCAACAGGGTCTGCCGGAGCTCAGGAATGCCGCTGGAGAGCGGCGCATTCTTCAAGTTACTTTTTTTAGTCCTTAAACTGGTCGTCCCAGAAGCCTGGAAGAGGAGGGGGAGGAGGAGAACGGCTCGGCTCTCCAGGAGGGGCGAGTTCCCAGGCGAATCCCATGGGAGCCGTGCGGCGGAGGGGATGGAGACACCGCCATCGCCTTCCTCACCGGACCTCGGCACCAGCAAGGATGGGTTTTGATGGGAAAACACTCAAAAAGAGACACTCAAAGCACTCCCCCCCCTCCCCTATGGCAGACAGAACGGGCTATAAAGATGGAATTCTGGAACACAGAAGTATCAATTGGGATAGAAGGAAAAGAAAGGGGGGGAAAAAAAGGAGAAGCTTGGCTAATGCAAACCAGATGAGGCTCCCGGCTTCGGGGGAGCGTTAACTGTTGCTTTCCACCGGCCTCTCCTGCTGTTTGATTATACATAAGGAAAAGGCTCCAGGCATTGCTGGTGACCCCCAGGCAAAGGGCAACTGCCCGTGGGGTATGAGAAGATGCCACCTCAGGTACCCCCGGGGCTGGAAGAAGTGTGGGTCCCACAATGTGGGGACCCCGAGAAGGTTTCTATGGGGGTGGCAGTTTGGAGACAGCCCATGGAGAAAACGGGATACCCCAGAGAAAGTGGGAAAGACTTAAATACCCTACAAGAGGGCACGTGAAATATCCTACATGGGACGGGGATGGGGGGGGGGGAAGAACCAGCCCCACAGAAGATGTCACAATCCCATATATCCGCCCCCCCCCTCCCCAGACGCTGCACTCACCTTATCCAAGCAGTTCACCTTCTCCGTGGGGTACACGATCTTGCCGCAGCGGGCGCAGTTGGGGTTCATGGCTGCAAGGACCCCAGGACTCCAACCACCGTCTCCCGCTGCCGCCGCTTCTGGGGCCGCCGCCCGCGCTGCCGCGACCCTAAATAGTGATGGGGGGGGGGGTAAGGGGGGAAGAGTGGGAGGAGCACGGGGGGAGGACGGACGGGCGCGCACCCACGCGTGCACGCACACGTACACCCGCCCCCTTCCTCTTCCTCCCCTCCATTACACGCGTGTGCGTTGCATGGAGCGCTGCGCACACGCGTTGGGATGCGCTATCACAGCGCTCGCGCGGCCGCCCCGGCAGCCGGGGGTATAGCTCAGTGGTAGAGCATTTGACTGCAGATCAAGAGGTCCCTGGTTCAAATCCGGGTGCCCCCTTGAGGTTGAGCTTTTGATTGCTCTTATTTTCTGCGTGTTTTTCTTATGTCTTTCTCTTTTGTGTTTTATTTTCATCCCCACGCATGATTCCTCCTTAAAAGTACGTGAGGAGAAGCTCCCCGACCTCTGCAAGGCCGGCAGAACCGTGTAGGTTCTTCCTGCACTGGCAATGCGATAGGCAGCATCGACCCAATTGGGGTTCTTTCATTCCAAAACCCTCTATAGGAACGTTAATTAAATCTCTGTCAGGGATAACAGCACCTTGATTCCCCTTTCCAGGAACCCAACGCAAGAAAAGGACCCTCTGCTTGCAGGTGGGCTTTAATGAAGTACACCCACACTAAAAAGGGCTGCGCTCGACTCTTTTCCTCCTCTTTTATTTCAGGATGCAGCTTTAAATTGGTTTCCTTCAGTTTAAAAGCAGCTTCTCTGATCCTGTCACACAGCCCACTCCTTCCCTCGCTGATCGCCTCACCCAGCGCTTCCCAGCTCCCCTGAAACAGCCTCCCACCTTTTCCCGGCCCATCTCAGCTTAAAATAAACCGAGCTTTTCAGTTTATCCAGCAATTTGGGATGTTGTGGGTGGATTTTCCTCTCTTGGCTGAGGAGATGCTGACGAGTGCGCGAGGCTCTTCATCACACAGAAGTTTTGGGTGCAAAACTGCAGGGCTTTGGTTTTTCTTTCTCTTATTTCCTTCACCTCCTGCATCTTGCCCAGTTGGCCAGGTTGGATGGGGCTTGGGGCAACCTGCTCTAGTGGAAGGTGTCCCTGCCCGTGGCGGGGGTTAGAACTGGATGAGCTTTAAGGTCCTTTCCAACACAAACCAGGCTGGGACTCTATGATTATTTGCTTTCAAGCTCTACACGGAGCACTTAGAGGACCAGGCTGATGAAGAAGCATCACTTGTGTTTTCCTCCTGAAATTAGATTTAAGCTTTCCCTGGGGAAACACAAAAATCATTTCTTGCCAACAGGCAAAACCCTTTCACTTTGCAGTTAAATTACACCGGGATTTACAGCATCATTAGGGCTGACAAATACACATGGAGGCAAAAGTGGTTGGCTCTGATAACAGACACATCCCCTCCTCGGTGTAGAGTGAGCGGCACGGCGCTGCCGCCGCACTCCGGTACACCAAGCGGTGCCTGGGAAACACCGAATTGCTGCGCTTTTGCCTCCCTTCCTGTGCTCGCTTCTTGGTCCCTCGGGCTCCGCCGGTCCTGGAAGCGCGCACCGGGAGGAGCCACCGGCTCCCCCCCCCCCCAAGCTCGGTGCCCGGTAGCGGCGGTGGAAGGCGGCACGGAGGGGAGTTCGGCGCGGCGGGGGTATAGCTCAGTGGTAGAGCATTTGACTGCAGATCAAGAGGTCCCCGGTTCAAATCCGGGTGCCCCCTCTTTTGCGTTTTCTACCTTTCTTTTTTCCCCTTTTCCAAGGTTTTTCTACCCCGAATCACTCCCGGTACCGACCGGGCCCAACGTGTTCCCCGTGGCCACCGTGCGATCCACACGTGGGGACCGCGGGGCCTGCCCGCCAGCGCCACGTGAACATCCCCGGCCTGACCACGTGACGTCCGGCGGAGAGGGGAAGGAGGCGGGGCAAGCCCATATCCCAGCGTGCCCCGCGCCTGCCCCCCTCTTCCGGCGCCAAGATGTCGAAGCGAGGTGAGGCAGGCCCCGGGCCGGGGGGGTGGCGGGATCCGGCTCCATCCGCGCTCCCCGCGGTGCCTTCATCGCCGCTCCGGGTGGGGATGGTGAGAGCCGGGTGTGGGGAGCGCGGAGCCCGCGGAGCGTGCCGGGAATCCCTCCTCCACACACACATCGGGAGGTGCTAGGCCGGCTCCTCGCCGTGCGCCATGTCCGGGCCCCTAACCCGCTTCTCGCCCTGCAGGACGCGGTGGTTCCTCGGGTGCCAAGTTCCGCATCTCCCTCGGTCTCCCGGTGGGAGCTGTGATCAACTGCGCCGATAACACAGGTGAGGGTGAGCGCGGCCGCTCCGGAGCCCTCGTTTTTTTCCTGGAGAGTTCCTATAATCATGGAATGGTTTGGGTTGGGAAGGGGCTTCAGGGCATCCCGTTCCAACGCCCTGCGATAGGCAGGGGCACCTCGCACTAAACCATGGCACCCAAGGGTCTCTCCAGCCTGGCCTTGAACGCTGCCGGGGATGGAGCATTCACGGCATCCTTGGGCAACCCATTCCAGTGCCTCAGCACCCTCACAGGGAAGAACTTCCTTATATCCAACCTAAACCTCCCTTGTTTAAGTTGCTGGGTCTGTGCTCGTGGAAGGAGACAGCAACAGCAGTGCTTTGGGTGAAGAGGCCGCTTGTGCTGTTGGCTTTCCCTCAGTGATTTGACTTGGGAAGCTTTGTCCTGGCCAGCCCCGTTGACCCAGGTCTTTCCATAGGTGCCAAGAACCTGTACATCATCTCCGTGAAGGGCATCAAGGGCCGCCTGAACAGGCTGCCAGCGGCCGGTGTGGGTGACATGGTGATGGCCACCGTCAAGAAGGGCAAGCCAGAGCTGCGGAAGAAAGGTGAGTGGGGAATGGCTCTGCTGGGGGGTGGTGGGATCCCGTCTTTGGGTGGAGACACTGGGAATGGTTCTGCCCCCAAACCGGTGCTGAAGTTGGGTACTGGATCTCTGGAGCGTGGCCTCCACCCTTCGAAAAGCACTTGCTGGGTCTGTGGCAGTGGCTCGGTGAGTTGTCGTGGAAGGGCAGAGCGAAGGCACTGCTTTTGGGTGAAGCGGCAGCTTGTGCTGTTCGTTTCAATCAGCGGTGGGACACGGTGCTGTGGTACCGTGGCTTGGCGCTGCTCAGGGTGGGGAGGGACTTGAGGGTGGATTTAGAGAGAAGGATGGCAAGACATCAAATTGTCCAAGTAGAGATACAGCTGCGAGCATTGCACCATCGGTTTAAGTATCCTGTTGCCTATAATGTGGAATTTCACGTAGCAAAGCCCTGCAGATGAGATGCTGGCTGTGACACTGAGCTGCTCCTGTCTCTCTGCAGTCCACCCGGCGGTGGTAATTCGGCAGCGGAAGTCCTACAGGAGAAAAGACGGAGTATTCCTCTATTTCGAAGACAACGCAGGCGTGATAGTAAATAATAAAGGAGAAATGAAAGGTATGGATGGGAACCCTGGGTGAAGGGGAAGTGTGGAGGTTGGTGTTGCTGCTTAGAGGGTGGAAGGACCCCGATGCTCCTCGTAGAGGAGCAAAGTGCTGCCCTGATCCCTCTCCGTAGCCATGCTGGGCTCTAAGACGCCGTTGTCCTCCTCTCCTTTTTCCCAGGCTCTGCCATCACAGGCCCTGTGGCGAAGGAGTGCGCGGATCTGTGGCCCAGGATAGCCTCCAACGCGGGAAGCATCGCGTAGCCGCGGCGTTCCATACACACAATAAAAGTCCTTGTACCAAACAAGTGGTGTCTTTCTTGCCAAAGTGCCCTTCTCTGCGGAGCAGGACCCTGTCCTCACAAGGGAGGTAGTTCTGGGAAGCCAATTTATGGAGCTCCTTGTCTGCGTGGAGCAGGGACGGGGGGTTTGGAGGTTTAATACCCAGTGATAAGTCTCTTTTTGTAGGCAGAGTCTACCTCTGGAAAATTCCTGGAAGGGGCTTGCGCTGGAACGGCTTTAGCAGGATTGACTCGAGCACTGGATGTCCGCATGAATAGAAGTGGGGTGGGTTTGTGGAAGCTCTGCTGCGAGATGCCTGCACACAGGGGCTGGAGGGATTGTAGGCCTGGAATTTCCTTCTAGAACAGGCAGTTGAAGTGCTTAGGAACACTGGTCTGATGGTGCAGGAGGGTGGGAAGCAGTACCTGGAAGTGAGCTGTACTGTGAGCTGCTGAGCTCACCATGCACAGTTGCTCTGAGGAACGATTCTTGGGCCTTGCTGAAGACGTGCAAGGACACAGAGCTTCATGGCTGCTGGTGGAGGTCGTGTGTGAAGCCCTCCAGCCCCGAGGTCAGCGATGGGCAGTTGTGAGTGGAAGGTCTGAGCTGAACTCTCAAGCTGAGCTGAAAGGCTTCACGAGCAGAGCTGGAGGTACGTCTACACAAAAACACTTGGGCTGTGTGAAGTGGTTTTCCTCATGTTCCTCTCAGGTGGAAGCCGAGAAGGGGATGTTTGGATGTGAACCAGAGGTCAGCTGTTTTTTTTGGCTCTCCTGAGCAAGGTAAAATAGGGGTGATAGTGTCCTGGATGCTGTAGCCCTGTAATGCCCCGCTTGGCCCCAGTCCACATCACGTTGTGACCCACAGGAGCTGCAACCCTTCCTTGGACTGCCCATGGCATGCTTTGCTTTGTGAAGGATTCCTGGTCTTTTCCTGCTATTCCTGATGCTTTCAGTGCAGAGAGGTTACAGTGGATGAAGTGGTTACAAGCATCAAAACCTCAGAGGTTGTGTAGCAAGAAGATAAGAAACGGACAAAAGCAGTGCTTTGTAAACCCTTGTTCTGACACAGCTGTTTGACCAAGAGACCAAGAATGCACAAAATAATGTGGCCTGGAAAGTCTTAACTCGGGCATTCCCATTGGACAACTGGGATCTGGGGAGGGAAACTTGGGAAAAGACTTACCCCAACTGAGGTCTGCTCTCTTTTCTGCAGGTCGTTCCACGGAGCTGGCAAAAGGTTGTGGCTTCTTCCCAGGAGAGCTGGAGTGCCAGGAGGGCACCAAGGGGTGCTCTTGGCTGTCATTGCACTGCTCTAACCCATGGCTCAAGTCACTTTGAGAGGTGCCATCCTTCCGATGCGCTGGTGATGGAGGAGCTGTTCTTCAGCCCTGGGGAGAGACACGGAGACCTGCTGCTGAGTAAGGAACCATCACTAAAATAAACGTGTTCTTCCTTGATGGATTTTAACAGCTTGTGCTGCGTTTCTGATGTCTGAAGCCGTTGTGAGGCAGGGCACAAGGCTGCGATGCTTTGGGTGACTGGCCCTGGATGAAATGCTTTGGGTGGGTGATTGTCCCTGCTCCTGGGCAGCAGTTTGGGATGGGTTGGCAGCATGGGAGGTGTTGTGGCAGGTCATCCCTCTCTGAGGCTGAGGAATGACCCACCCCAAGACCAAGCAGAGGGGCAGTTGAATGGCTTCAGCCATAGTTTGAAGCTGGTATTTGAAAGTGTTGTTTTATTTTTTCTGTATGATGAGGTGTTCTAGAGAAAGTTAATAGGGAAGTCATTAGGTTGTGTGCCAGGAGCCTGGTTGGAAGCATGCTGAGAGGTGGGGTTTAGGATAAAATGAAGGGTAATGAGAGGGCTGCAATGTAGAAGAGGCAGTGCCACAGGTGCAGGGAGTGAGGCAGTGGAATGCTGCAGAGCTGCCTCATCCCTGCACACAAGGAACTCTTCCTGCCCTTACTGCACAGTGGGGGTATAGCTCAGGGGTAGAGCATTTGACTGCAGATCAAGAGGTCCCCAGTTCAAATCCGGGTGCCCCCTCCCCTTTTCCTGCTTTTTATCCAGAAAAAGTTGGGGGGGGGGCTCTCCATTGCCATGTGTTTCCCCTTAACTGTCTGCGGGCTCCATCCTGGGTTTGACAGGGTGCTGGCCAGAGGTGAAGTTGATTCCTAAAGAATATCAGTGGGATGTTTGTGAGGGGAGAAATGAACATTTCTTGAGAAGCTGGTTTTTGGCCTGGGATTAATCTGTAGGGACTTTGTTGGGCTGGTGATTTATGGGGAACAGTTGTGCATGGGGGTATAGCTCAGTGGTAGAGCATTTGACTGCAGATCAAGAGGTCCCTGGTTCAACTCCAGGTGCCCCCTCTTTTTCTCCTCCTTCAGCCTGCCTTTTGCCAAAATAGGATCCAGAAAGGAGACCGAGAGCTCTCCCTAGGCCTTGCGAGGATGTGCTGTGCACTGAACGTTGGCTTCTGAGCTCCAGTGCTCAAGGAGCTGAGGCCCTGACTCTTAGGAAACTGGAGTGCACTGTGTAACTGCTCCCTGTCTGTGCGTGCACTGCTCTCTGTTCTTAATTCTCTGCAGTAATGACATTAATGATAATGCATCATATTTAACTGCCTGCAGAGGTTCTGTCAGGTGCATGAAGAGGCAAAGGGGGGTTGTCAAGTAAAGGGATCCCCAAAGCAGACAGCAAAACTTGTCTCTATATGAATGTTTCAGATGTCTCTTTTTGAAGGTGCATTGTCAAGGGGGTATAGCTCAGTGGTAGAGCATTTGACTGCAGATCAAGAGGTCCCTGGTTCAACTCCAGGTGCCCCCTCAGGAGTCACTTTTTCTTTAGGATTTTGGGGTGTTTGTTCACTGCAAGCCTGATACCATCAGCTCAGCTTCCTCTCCTGTGCATTCTTTTGCATGTTAGACCTGGAGCAGAACAGTGTGGGGAGACTCTGCCCAGTCCTGTCTGAGACTTAAGGCCATGTCATGGAAGAGTGTACTCAAAGAGAGCAGACTGAGCTGGGAGGAACTGGGCCAAGGCTGTTTGGGGAATGGAGGAGTGTCAGTCTCCTGTGCTGGAATGTGGTGACTTGATGTCTTGTGCTGCTATTGTGCTTCAGCCTTGCAATTTCTGCCTCTAGATTGGATTCCTATGGAACAGAGAGGTCGGAGACTAGGCAAAGAACATCCTTGAGATGCTGTTTTGTTGGTAGCCACTGTGTACAGTGGGGGTATAGCTCAGTGGTAGAGCATTTGACTGCAGATCAAGAGGTCCCTGGTTCAACTCCAGGTGCCCCCTCTTTTTCTTCTCCTTCAGCCTGCCTTTTGCCAAAGCTGGTCCCAGAAAAAAGGTGGAGAGCTCTCTCTGGGCCTTGTGAAAATGTGCTGTGCACTGAACGTTGGTTTCTGAGCTCCAGTGCTCAAGGAGCTGAGGCCCTGACTCTAAGGAAACTGGAGGGATTGTGCACTGTGTAACTATTCCCTGTCTTATGTACTTCTCTGTTCTTGATCCTCCGTTGCAATTCTCTGTACAGCCTTTTGGGAGGAACATTAAGGGGCAGAGGGGGCTGTCAGGTAAAAGAGTGACAAGTGAATAGAAAAGGCTGGCTCTCTATAGAAATGCTTTTAGAACCTCTCTGTGAAGGTGTGTTGCCACGGGGGTATAGCTCAGTGGTAGAGCATTTGACTGCAGATCAAGAGGTCCCTGGTTCAACTCCAGGTGCCCCCTTTTTTTCTTCTCCTTTGGCCACCTTTTTGCCAAAAGTGGTCACAGAAAGAAGACCAAGAGCTTTCCTTGGACCTTATGAGGATGTGCTTTGTGCTGAAGAGTGGTTTCTGAGCTCTGTTATTCAAGGAGCTGAAGCCCCGAATAGGGAAACTGCAGGGGTTGTGCACTGAGTAACTACTCCCTGTCTCTGTGTGTACTTTTGTCCTTAATTCTGTGCAGTAATGACATTTATGGTAATGCATCATATTTAACTGCCTGTAGAGCCTCTGTGAGGCACATGAAGAGGCAAAGGGGGGTTGTCAAGTAAAGGAATCCCTTAAGCAGACAGCAAAACTTGTCTCTATATGAATGTTTCAGATGTCTCTTCTTGAAGGTGTGTTGCCAAGGGGGTATAGCTCAGTGGTAGAGCATTTGACTGCAGATCAAGAGGTCCCTGGTTCAACTCCAGGTGCCCCCTTTGGGTTGTCCTTTTCCTTCACGAAGAACTGAGCATTCCTCCCTTTCAGCTCTGCTGTCCTTGTCCTGCCCATGAAGGCATCTCCAAAGGCCAAGATCGAAGATACTCAGCTGAGCACTTAGCTGAACACTTCCTATGGGAATGGTGTCAGTGACGAAGCAAAGACACAAAGGTTATTTTGATAGAAGAGGAACCTGCAGGGGATCCAGTTTGTGTGTGTAATTAAGCCCTGTCTATATGTGTTTGTCTCCAGATTGTGCAGAGAATGTTACAGAGACAATTTTGCCTGTACATTAGCATGCAGACAAGGGTGCTGTCCTAGTGGAATGTGTCCCTGCCAGAGGCAGGGGGTTGGAAGTGGATGTTTTTTAAGGTCCTTTCCAACCCAAACCATTCTGTAATTCTATAGCATGACCTAACCAGTGGACATAGAACTCTAGATGAAGTTGTGTGCTGTTCCTTGTAGGAACCATCACACAGGGGGGTATAGCTCAGTGGTAGAGCATTTGACTGCAGATCAAGAGGTCCCTGGTTCAACTCCAGGTGCCCCCTCTTTTTCTCTTCCTTCAGCCTTCTTGCCAAAACTGATCCCAAAGACGATGGAGAACTCCCCTTGGATCTTGTGACTTGTGCTCTTCACTGCTTTCTGAGCTCCATTGTTCAAGGATCTGAGGCTCTGACTCAAAAGAAAACTGCTGTGCACTGTGTGAGTAACTACTCCCTCTCTATAGACTTCTCCCTGGTTTTGATTCTCAGTAGTATTCTCTGTATGGCCCTTGGTAGGCACATCAGGAGGCACAGGGGGTGTTGGGTCACAGTCTTACCATGGACAGAA